GGACATTAAACAGTGCATACATATTTATGTAACCATAAGGGTAATGTAGGCAAGGCTGAAAAACATTTACAAGCTTGGAAGAAGATACATCCTTTTTTTAACATTTGTACTGTAAAAATAAAAAATAAAAAAGAATTAAAAAAAATCAGAAATAGCTGCATTCTAACATGGGTGCTGAGAGTCCTGTGCTCTCCTGATCTCTTTACTGGTGCTTTTATTGCAATTTAGAAGTGTAGTGAGGGAGTTCTGAAAATTAATCTTGCAAGGTAATACTCTGATCCTCAGGATGTGTTAATCAAGTCCCTGAAATTAAAAAAGATAAGCAAGTTTGTTTAAAATGTTGCTTCGTAATACTGACTCTAATGAAGTTTTTACTGCTGCCTTTACAAAGTGGCTCAATTATACAGTCACAGTTTATTTCAAATTACAGCCACTGCAAATCTTAAATGCTAAATTGGATTAAGCGAGACAGGCTGTTTTAATGATACGGTATGAGGGAAACATAGTGCAAGTAAAGAACAAACTATAGTGTGGTCTCTTTAACAGCTGCTTTTGCTAATTCAAAAGGCAAAAAACAAGCCTGGATAGGAAACAGTGGAAATTACACTTTCAGGATTTCTCTCTGGCTGTCCTTTCCATTTATTTTATGCCTGTGTGTGTAAGAACTTTAAAATCCAGTATTTGTGAGTTACGGTTTACATTTGATCCTGTAAAACTATGCTAATGCTTCAAGTTATTGAAGATAAACTAAAAAGAAATGAATATTAATCCAGCTTTCACCTGGATCACTGTTCTTAACTCTACTAGAGCAATGGTAAGGTCATATGTTAAAAGATAGTTCAAATTAAACTTGCTCAAACTGCTGCCTGAGATAGAGGACTTCTAAAAGAGTAGTGTCCTTTGTAAAGCTACCTGTCTTAATTCTGAACCTGTGGGATAATTCTTCAAAATAATTGCTGTGTGTGGTTGTTGTTCTCCTGCAGTGCCTTCTGGCACCACCTGGTGGGCTCCAGCGTTTTTACTTGGCTGTCTGAAACATTTCTCCTGCGATCAGCTCCCTGCTGAGAGCTCCCCCTGCTCTGGCAGCAGGAGCAGACCTGAAGTGAGCCTGCCACTTCTGTCAGAAGCTGTACAATCTCAATACAAGCAACAGATTCTGTTACCATCCCTCTCCTTCCAGATTTTTACCTGGAAAGCGTTTCCTCAGCAAATTGTTTCCCTCTGTGTTCACGGTGGCAGAATTCAGATGTGCTGTTAGGAGTGAGGCACTTAAATTTGTGGGCCTGGTGTCAGTAGCGTTTATTATCACTGGTTTTGTGCTGCTAACATCCCTCTTCAGTGGATGGTGTGGTTATGAAACTTTCATGAGAGCGCAGTAAACATCATCGTAGTGTGTGTGTTGCAGTGAAATGTGTGCAATTTTGTGGAAATACAGGCATGAATGATAACTAAAAGTTAAGATGGAGAATTATTTCAGGTGGTTACACTTTTTTCATGGAGTTAAAAGCTCATATAAACATTTTAATGTTTCTAAACAACTAAGTTTATAGAGGTTCACAGTGAAAACTGCGGCCTGTGCATGTTGGGTTTCCCTTCATTTCCCTTTATACTGCAAAAATTAATTTTTTGCATGGCTACATTTTTTTCTGTCCTAATATCGTGCTTTCCTGCCTAGTCTGATACTGTGATAGTACTATAGTGTCCTATATTGTACTATATTGTACTACTCATATGGTTGACAATTTGTAGGGCTAACACTTAATATTCTCTGAAATACTCCACAATAATTAAAGCACAATCACACAAAGTAGTCATCTGATTTCCACGTGGGTTTTTTTTAAAAAGTATGCTGTGGTGTAGAAAAGTTTGTTAAAACAAGCAACACACCTGGGCTGGTGAGCAGCAGCTCAAAGTCAAAACAATGTCTTTTAAGTGAAAGTTGCAGCTGCACTGATGGTGACCTGTGCTGTCTGGTGCTGAGGAAATGGGCTTCTGTCCTTGAAGTACATAAGTTTGCTTTCAGAAAATTAGGTTTTATGCCCTCTTAATAATGTCTTCAGAATAGTCAATGTGCAATTGGAATGTAAATATAATCCAGAATGCAAGTGTTGAGCTTAAGTTTCATCTTCAGTAAGGTTTTGAATTAGTTACTGTCTTAGTTTCTAGGAAATCAGCTTGAATGGCTGAATCATGTTTTTACTTCAGTAGCCTTGTGTTCATCCATAGGTTCAGAGAGCACAGTGAAGCACTTAAGTGCTACCATATGAACTGTGACTTTTAAGGGATTAGAAATAAATTTTCCGGTTTAGAGGTATGATGTCAAACTTGTGGCATAGGCATGATTGGGGACGTTCCATTAAAAAAACCTTAACTGGTAGAAGACTTTGTCTTTTGAGGTGTTACAGTTGTATTTCTAAACAGAGCTATGTCATCAGTGCAGTCAAAATACTTTATATTTTTTTTCAGGAATTGGAAATAATGTGAGGAGGAATTATATAATACAGATAGTAAAAATATTTACAGCTTCCTTCAATAATAGAGTAAAAGGGTATGTTGTTTTCTAAATCTGAAGGATTTTGACGTTTTGTGTATTTGTGGAAGTAGTGGTGGTTTGGGTTATGTTTGGTGGGGTGTGCTATTTGGTTTTATGGGGTGTTTGTAGAGCGGAATATATAATACAGTCTATAATGTATAATACAAGATTTCAGTTGTTTCTCAACTCACAGCTTTTCTGGAGGAAAGAAGTGGATCTCTTGTATGTTTGTTTACCTGTGGGACTCAGTTTGGTAGTGTATCACAGCAGTGCTCTGAATTCAGAGTTTTGTTTTTCGTAATTTGTGATGTTTCTCTACTGGAATGTTTTAATCCTTAGGAAAATATTTTTGAGTTTAGTAACAAAACCCATCCCGATGCTGTTTCCAGGAAAGTAGTTAAGCTGGCTAATTGCTTCCTATTACATCTTCAAGTGCTTTTAAGAAGTTGAGCGTTATTGCCCCGGTATCCTTTAGCATCGTTGTGTATACCCTGGTAGATTTCAGGAGGAGATGAAATGTGGAAAGAGTAGCAAGTTCCTGTAAGTAAATTTTTAGTTCCACTGGTTCTTGTGAATCGCTGCTGTGAATGTCTTAAGTTAGCTCTTTCTAAAAACTGCAGATTACTGAATGTTGTCTCCCTATTGCTGTTTTTTCCTGGGGGAATTCCTCTGTATTGCTTTATTGCTCCTAGAAGTTAAGAGGCGTGGTTCTTGAAAGAATTGTCAAGTGTTAGATGTTAAATGCATTTTGCTGCTTAACGGCTTTACCATACCTCAGGGCACCTCCCTTCTGAGTTCCCTCAACCAGATCACTAGTTAGGGGAATTCTTCTGGTTTTAAGCCTTGTATGAAAATTGACAAGTGCTTCCAAAATGGAAATAAAAGATGAAAGACCGGTGCTGATTCATAGATAAAATAGAACATGATTGCAGCAGTGACATCTCTACAGGAAATGATCTGATGTCACTTGCCTTTGTTGCGGGCAACACTGAAGTAGTGAATTGTTCTGCATAAATTTCCAAATATGTTACTCTGAAATATATTAAACTGTAATTCTTAGAATTTTTTTTTTCCAGGTGATGACAAATTTCTGGAAATAAATCCTGAAAAGGACTTTTAAAAGGTTGTCCTCACCTCCCTCATCTAGAGGAATGTGGTGACTAAATAAACACTTCAGAAATTTGATGAGTTTAGTTGTAGAGAGTTGCCAAAAACTTCAGCAGATCTATGAACAATCAACTTACTTGACAAATTAGTGGCTTGAGCAGTCATTGCAGTGCAATATCTTTTCTTTAGTGCTGGATTTTTTTTACAAACTTTTTGTAACATACCCTGCTATGTGATTGGGAGCATGTTATTTGTAAAAAAAAGGAAACAGTTGATTTGTGCTTTACGTCTGGTAAAGATATTACAGTTTCTTCTAAGCTTGTGGTCATTCCTACCTGTATTGGCTCGGTGTTTTTTAAGCAGCTTTCCTTTCTGTATGTAATTGATATGGAACTTGACTGTGACTATGAGGGAAAAGTAGCACAGAATCACAGAATCAAGTGGGGTGGAAGAGATCGAGTCTGAGTTAACACCAGATCCTGGCAGTGATGCCACATCCAGTCTCCTCCTAAAGACCCCTGGGATGGTGACTCCACCCCCTCCCTGGAAAGCCCGTTGCAATACCAAGTCACTCTCTCTGTAAAGAATTTCTTCCTAATATCCAACCTAAACCTCCCCTGGCACAGTTTAAGACCGAGCCCTCTTGTCCTATTGCTGATTGCCTGGGAGAAGAGACTGACCCCCACCTGGCTACAACCTCCTCTCAGGTGGTAGTAGAGAGTGCTGAGGTCTCCCCTGATACTCCTCCAGACTAAACAACCCCAGCTCCCTCAGCCTCTCCTCACAGCACTTGTGCTCCAGTCCCTTCTCCAGCCTCCTTGCTCTTCTCTGCCCCTGCTCCAGCCCCTCCATGTCCTTCCTGAGCTGAGGGCCCAGAGCTGGACACAGCACTCCAGGGGTGGCCTCACCAGCTCTGAGTGCAGGGGAAGGATCACTGCCCTGCTCCTGCTGCCACACTGTTCCTGAGCCAGGCCAGGATCCATTGGCCCTCTTGGCCCCCTGGGCACACTCTGGCTCATGTTCAGCCTCCTGTCACTCCACACTCCCAGGTCCCTTCCTGCCTGGCTGCTCTCCAGCCACTCTGTCCCAGCCCATGGTGCTGCAGGGGGTTGTTGTGGCCAAAGTGCAGGACCCAAAACTTGGCCTGGTTGAACCCCAAACTGCTGGGGTTCATAGTAGTAGCCCTAGTATTTGTTTTGCTGTATATGCCCTCTGTTTGCTGAATGTTTTCAGAGTAACAGAATATGAGGGAATAACCTGTTGAGTGTGTAAACAAGCATTAAAGTGAGACTTGGTTGAAAGAATGTTTTTCTTTTTTCAAATCAAGCTATTAAAATACTTTACCTGTTTTGTTTTTCAGAGTACTGTAATTGAAAGTGCATCTTCTACATTTGAGGGAATATTAAGTTCTTGATTGAATGGTGGATTAATAAGTAGTAGTCTAATTCTAAGAGGAAGAAGATATCCTGGGAGTTGGGAAGAACTGGATTTTCACCCTAGTCCAGCAGCTTTGCTGCTCACTTAAACACAGATGAATGAAGACCCCATTTGGAAAATCACCAGGTCAGCGGTCCAGAGCTGATGCAGGTGAGGTTTTTTTCTGGGTGGTTTTCTTTGTTTTTAACAGATAACAGTGATCTTACTTTATTGACTTCTTAAGTATGTTAGTGATTTGGTGCAGATGTTATCGTTCCTTTTTTTCAAGAACTGTGACTTTGGTTCTAAATGCTGATAAACTGAAAAAATGTACAAAAATTTAATTTAGCAGTGCAGACACGACCTTCATTTTGTGTTGCATCAGTGACCTGTAGGGTCATGTCAGTCCCCTGTAGGGAAACATAATGCAGCATGTTTGTTATCACCAGCCATTGTAAATAGGAGCTTTTATAAAATTCTCAAGAAACCAACCAGCCAGCCAACCAACCAACCACCATATCTAATTAGGAAAGCTCATTTAGCTTTTAAATCACTCAAGCAATAGTCCATTCTGGTGCTTTCAAATACTCTGACTCACTGAGAATTAAAGCAACTGATACTGGAAGATTTTTCTGCAACCCTTTGGGAACATTCAAACCTATATTTTACCTGTGACTGGATTGCAATTTGCTGACACTCATTTGAAACATTTACTGATTCCAGGAGTAACTGCAGTAGTTTCAAAGGAGAGACCCAGGACAAAGTCTTGAACACTTGTTTTCAGTGAGTTTCCATTCCTTCAGCTGCAAAGTCCTTTTGATGCTGTCAGAATGCCTGTGGCAGTAGAGTTGTATCTCTAAGAGAAAAGAAGGGAGAGCAGGCTTGGGACCTGGTCCTGAAGCTTAGTCTTGCTGACTTCTGAGCGTTACTGTAGCACTCTGCCCAAGTTTGAAGAACTGGAATCAGGTTTTTCAGGAAAATGTTGCAGGAATTTTCTCTGACCACTCCAATGTGACGTGTAATGAACAACAAAACTACAACACGTGAAACTTGTGTAAAGAGTGATTATGTGGCTGGATTTATTTTTTCCTAAAAACCAAAACGTTAAGCTAGGACACTTTAATTCAGTATGTTAAAAAAATAAAAAGTTGCTTCCTATTTGTCTTTTTTTTTTTTTTTTTGCTCCTTAAACAAAATAAAAAAAAAATTAAAGTATGTATTTTAGGAGTCACTTTTTCAATTGCTTGTTCATTATAGTTTGTCCTATAACTGGCATCGTGCCGAATTGCCATTGAAATTGACAAACAAATTTCTTGAGATGTCATTTTTGCTTTTCAATATGCCTCTGCCAAAGTTAAAATTTGTCTTTATCCTTTTATACTCTTAAATGGGAACTTACATTGATTTGATTAACACAGTATCACTGTCATTTAAATGCAGCCCATAAATCATTCAGTCTGTCTCTACTCCTGGCATAGTTGTGGCCTAGGCAGGGAAGGTGCACAGGAATATCAGACTTTGGTCTCTTCTAAAAACCCTGGAGGGAGGAGGGGCACAAGAAACGTGGCTGATGTCCAGGGACCAGCTCCTCCCAAGCTCAGGAGCAATGCATCCTGTCAGAGAGGAAGTCAGGCAAAATCACTAGGAGGCCTGTGTAGGTGAACAAGGAGACCAGGGAAAATGTGGGCTCTCTATGGAGGGAAACCGGAGACCTGATTCTGTGATAGAGGTTCTTGATGACTTTATCTCAAGTCTGTACCAGGAGATGCTCCAGCCACGTCTTCCAAGTCACAGAAAGCAAAGACAGGGACTGGAAGAATGAAGAGCTTCCCACTGTAAGAGAGGAGCACATTCGAGACCATGCAGGAAACCTGAAGGTGCACAAGTCCACAGGACCTGATGGGACTAGCAGAGAAAGTGACACTATCCATCGGATTTGAGAAGTCATGGCAGTCCAGTGAGGTTCCCACTGATTGGGAAAAGGGAATACAAAACCCCCATTTTTACAAAGGGAAAAAAAGGAAGATGCAGGGAATTACAGGCCAGTCAGTCTCACCTCTGTGCCTGGCAAGATCATGGACTTAAATATTCCTGAAAACTATGCTTAGGCAGGTGGAAAACAAAGAGATGCTTGGTGACAACCAACATGGCTTCATGAAAGGCAAACTCTAGCTGACAGAAAAATATTGAAATATTTCCTTGAAATAATGGATGGTCACACTCAGAGTTGCAGTCAGCTGGCTCAGTTTCCAAGTGGAGACCAGTGATGGGTGGCATTCCTCAGTGATTCTGTTTCGACCAGTGCTGTTTAATATCTTAGTCAGTGATAGGAGCAGTGGGATGGGGTGACCCTCAGCAAGCTTGCCAACAAAACCAAAGTGTGTGGGCCTCAAAGCATCCTTTTATGTGCTAAGTAGAGAGGTAGGGGTTTGATGTGTTCATTGGATGGCTGCATGTAAACAGATACAGTCAACAGCCCAGTATCCAACTGGAAACCAGTAATGAGTGGTGTCCACTGAGGGCCTGTCTTGGGCCCAGTACTACTGAATATGGTATAGACAGGTTTGCAGATGACAACAAGGGAGGTGCAGTTGATTCCCCAGAGGGAAATGTTTTGGGCAGAGTTAACTGAGCCTCAAAATCCACACCGACCACATGACAATGAAATACTTAATCCTTGATGGAGTTTGAGTTCACTTTCTATTACAAATAATATGTTTCTATGTTCTTATATCATAAAATAATGAAATAGTTTGAGATTGAATTGGACCTTTTGAAGGTCACCTAGCCCAACTCTCCTACAGTTAGCAAGGACATCTTCAACCAAATCAGGTTGCTCAGAGGCCCATCCAACCTGGACTTGGACGCTTCCATGGAGGGGTCATCCAGCACCTCTGGGCAACCTGTTCCAGTGTTTTACCACACTCATTGTAAAAAATTCTTTCTTATATTTAATCTAAGTAGACCCTTCTCCAGTTCAAAACTGTCACAACAGATCCTGCTAAAAAGTCTGTCCCCATTTTTCTAAAAATCCCCCTTTGCATACTCAGGGGGGACAATGTCTCCTTGGAGCCTTCTCCAGGCTGAACAATCCTGGGTCTCTCAACCTTTCCTTTCAGGAGAGGTGCTTCAGCCCTCCAGTCATGTTTGCAGCCCTCCTCTGGACTTGTTACAACACGTCAGTGCCCTTCCAGTGCTGAGCACCCAGAGCTGGATGCAGTGTTCCTGGTGGGGTCCCACCAGAGCAGAGGGGCAGAATCCTCTCCCTCGCCCTGCTGGCCACGCTGCTTTGGGTGCAACCCAGGACACAATTGGCTCTCTGGGCTGTGAGTGCACTTTGCTGGGCCATGTCCAGCCTCTCACCCACCAGCACCCCCAAGTCTCTCTCAGCAGGGCGTTTCTCAATCCCTTTGTCCCCCAGCCTGTATTGATACCAGGGTTACCCCTTCTCAGATGTAGCGCCTGGCACTTGCCTTTCTTAAACCTCATGAGGTTCCCACAGGCCCACTGCTCAAGGTTGTCCAGGTCCCTCTGAATGGCATGTCATCCTTCAGCCGAGTCAACCACGCCACTCAGCTTGCTGTCATCTGCACCTAAGTGACTGAAGCATAAATCTATTGTCAGATGCATCAAAGTTTTAGTCTTCCCTGCTTACTGCAAAGAAGACTAAAACTGATCCATTTGCTTTGGTTTTCATTGGCTATTAATTTTTTTTCTGGTTTTACGTTCAGGGTAATTCCGATGTAGAGACCATTTTAATTGCTATCTAAAATAAGAAATTTCATGCAGTTTCCCGTGTAGTTCTTGCAGTGTTTCATGCAACCATGTTCCTCCTTCCTGCTCAAAGGTTAGGCACAGCTCCAGACTGCAGATGTTATTGAGCTTTGGCCCAATAAGTAGCTCATTGATTTCTCGCAGCTTTCTACTGATAATAGAAAAAGTAATGTTGAAGGAATTCTTCAACAAGGACCAAGAAAGATTCAGCAGGCAGGTAATTTTGGTTTTGATCTTCTTGTTAGAGTATGCTAAACATAAGGATTCCGTTCTGTTCCGTCCCCCTGTCTAGAGCTGCTGTAGAGGACAAGCTCCTGTTCCAGTTTCTCCAAGTGTCTAGCCAAGCAATTCAACAGTGTAACCTGAGATGTCTTTAAAAGGAGTTTACACATCTCCTTGAGACTTTACTGAATTCAGACTGTGCAGAATAGGAGGGTGAATTGTGGCAAATAGGCATTTGTTTGGTAAAAGGGTGTGTTTGACCTAACATCTTCAAACACTTGATATTTATATTAAACATCAAAATGCCACAGCTTCGTGTGTGAAACTGGAAGCTATCTTGAGGTACTGCCTGGCTTGAGATGATGAGCAGTGCTTAGTTGTCTTTGTTGGCTTTGGCTTAGTGCTCACTACATCACTGAACAAGTTGAATCAAATCAAAAATACGAGGTTCCCAAGGGAAGAAGTTAGCAAACAAGGCAAATTCCTGTTCCCAGAGGTCTGCACAGCTTCTCCTGTGTATTTATTGCAGAGGCTGTAGTAAATCTTTCTGCATAGGTCTAGTGTTTCTGTTCCTCACTTTGGAAGATAAATGCTTTTCACCTCCCTGCTTTTGCACAGGTGTCATGAGTCCTTGAGCAGAGGACAGAATGCAAGCTCTTGTGCTGAACCATTCTGTTATTCTGTTTTGGTTTTAAATACTTGAGCTAACTTAGCCAATATCTTACTTTCCTCCCATTAGCCAGTAATGTTAAGCACAGCGTGCCTGTGCTCACGTTCTGGTGATGCAGTGTCTCTGTTTCATAAGAACAGTTCTCTTTTTCCTGATTTTTTTTTTTTAATAAAACATCACCATATATTTATTAAAACGTGTATCATTACATTGTGTATTAGTAGAACGTAGCCACCTCATGTACAGAAGAGGTAAAAAGCTTTTTCTCATGGTTGCAGTAAAAGCCCAGAAGTCTTGTGGGTTTCTAATCGGACTTTCTGCGATACCATTTTTTGTTTTCCAACTCAGTTCCTCCAAATATGCACTTTGATTATTTGGTCTCGTAACGGTCAAAAGTTGCAAGTAGAGTCCTTACTGCAGCAATTGGCAGGTAAGGCTTAAGTTTTAAAATCCCAGCATCTCAGATGTCATTACTGCTGGAAATGCAGGTTCTGATACAAGCTTGAACATAGTAAACAACCTGCAGTATTATTTTAATTCCAGCATTTTTGTAACTTTGTATATGTATTCCTCTTAAATTTTTCACCTAAAAATGAAAATACTGAAATATTTATGAAGACTTTGAAGGTTGATGGTACTTTCAGTGCTTGACTCTCCTGTGTGGTGTTCTTAATATCATGAAAGTTTTGAACACGGATATAATTCCAAAGCTGTTCAACACAGTGTTAAATTTAAAAGAATCGGTTTGTTCAGGTGTATGGTGAAATTAAAATATTTCTCTGTAAGTGTTAATTTAAGCATCCCTAGTTGAAATTCTGGGCTTGTTTCTACATAAACATGAGGCTTTAGCATTACACTCAGTCTGACGCTGTGATCAGGTTCTTTTAAATATGGCAGACAAGCAGAAAACCCAGAACAGCCCAAAACAAGTTACTGTGAAGAAATTCAACTCCATCCCAGTCAAAACCAGTACAATGAGGAGAATCAGGATCAAGACAGATATCTTCTGGATACTTCTTACCCTTGACATCACAGCCATCACTTTTAACAGGGGCTATTTCAGTCAACCCTAGTAAATGATCCCTATATATGTGGTCATTGGCCATGATCTGAGCCTGCGATTTTTATTCTGAGAACTTATTTTGATTTTTTTTTTTTTCCAGCTGTGCTAATCACCTCTTATATGTAATGTTATCTTTGGAAACTGTTCTTCTGTCATCTTGTTCTTGCATATTTCCCCTGCTGAATTCTTTATGACTGGTCATAAGTAGCTTTCTAACAACTAGCAGAAGCCTGCTTTCCTGCTTTCCCCTTCCCTCACTTCCGCTTAGTAGAAGCTTTCCGTGGTTCATATCTACCCCAGAGTATGACTGGGAGGAGTGCAATGTTCTTCTGTCTGTATAGATTTGTTCATAGGGTTTTTTTTTTTTATTCCTCTGTTAGGCACAGGTAGAGCTCGTCTGGCTAACTTGGGAAGATGTGTATTTGCATCTTTTTTTCTTATTAGGGATAAAAGCTTAAAACAATTCATTCACTTACCTACTGTTGCTGATGGATGATTTCAGCTGTTGTAACGACTGTCCCTGCTGTGTTCAGTTCAACTTTCATTTTAATAGTTGCTGTCAGTCACTCCTTACATTGATCCCTGAGCTTGTGTGTTGGGTTTGCATGGCAAGGTACCAGGAGGGTGCAAGATCGGCTCCTGTGGGAAGCAGCTGGAGGCTCCCCTTGTGTCCAGCAGAGCCAATGCCAGAGCTGAGCCCATCTGTGATAGTAGCACCTCTGGGATGATATATTTTAGAAGGGGGGAAAGATTCTGCAGAGTAGCAACTGCAGCCAGAGGAGGGGAACGAGGCTGTGTGAGAGCAACAGCCCTGCAGGCACCACGGTCGGTGCAGAAGAGAGGGATGAGCAGAGGCTCCCCTGCAGCCCATGGCAAAGCTGATGGAGCCACACTGGAGCAAGGGGATGTGGCTGAAGAAGTCTGTGACCCTTCAGGAAATCTGCACTGGAGCAGGCTTCTGTCCCAGTGAGAGAGGGGCCCATGCTGGAGCAGGTTTGCCAGCAGGACTTGTGACCCTGCAGGGGACCCACGCCAGAGCAGCCTGTTCCTGAAAGATGGCACCCTGTGGAAAGGTTCCGTGCTGAAGCTGTTCATGAAGAACTGTGTCCTGTGGGAAGGATTCACACTGGGAAGTTTGGAGGACTGTCTCCTGTAGGAGGTGGCCCACACTGGAGCAAGGGAAGAGTGTGAAGAGTCCTTCCCCTGAGGAGAAAGGAGCAGCAGAGGCAACGTGATTAGCTGACTGCAACCCTCATTACCTGTCCCCTTGTGCTGCTTGGAGCCAAGGAGGTAGAAAAAAGTGGCAGTGAAGTTAGGGCAAGAAAGGATGGAGGGGTAGGGGGAAGGCATTTTTAGATCTGGCTTTATTTCTCATTATCCTACTTTGACTGGATTGATAATAAATTAAACTAATATTCCCTGAGTCAAAGCTGTCTTACCAGTGATGGTAATTGGTGAGTGATTCCCTGCCCTTCTTGACCAGGAACCTGTAGTTGTATTTTCTCTCCCCTGTGCAGCTCAGGAGAGGAGGGACAGCGCAGCTTTGGTGGGCACCTGCCATCCAGCCAGTGTAAGCCCACCACAGCTTCATGAACATGTTGCCCATGTCTGTCTCTGCACAGCCCTCTCGCATTGTAGCAGGTCACTTGATCAGTCACAACATGAAGTGTTTATATTCTTTACATTTTGACATTCAAAATGAAGACTTTTGTGTCAGTTTTTAAATTATTTTTTTCAGTAATTCCAACATCTTTTATATGTAGGTCATGCAGGAGTGTCTGCCAGCATGATGAAGAAGAGGACTTCCCACAAGTAAGTTGTTAATATTTTTGCTGAAGTATAGCTCTCAGTAACTGCAAGTACTGTTCTAGAAATATATCTGTATTGTTCCACTCACTTTGTTCTTGCAAATCACGTGGAATAATACTCAGTATATGTGTGTAGAATCAGACTTTTAATTCTTTCAGGAGAGTGGTAGGAAAGAAAGCCCCACAGATAAAGACTTAAACATTGTTTTGACTGTTAATATGGTATTTTTCTTGAATACGGTTTTGTAATTCTTTCTGGAGTCCGCAGAGAAGGATATGCTAAGATCAGCCATGTGTACTGTAGGATGTCTTTTCTCTGGCACAGAGTTCACGCATTGTCACCAGGTCAATAAAAGCTGCAAATCACGCTTACTGATAACCCAGTCTAATCTAATCATGTATGCACTATAACTGTAGTTTTGGAAAAGATTTTTCTTTTTTTTTTTAAATAAAGAATATACTGAAGTACTTCTGTAAGGAGGCTGCTATCTGTGTGGGAAGGAAGGATACCTGCTTGTGCTACACTTTCATGGCACGTATTTTTCCATCTACAACATTTTTAAATAGTAGCAGCTGAACATTGGTGAGTAGCTGTGTGAAAATAGAGGTAATCTTCTGGGTATAATTGGTCTTAGATGTCATATATCTGGCTATATCTCTGGTGGAAGAAATCTAAGCTGGGTAAGTGTGAAACATACTAAAATGTTACTAGCTGTATTTTAAGTGTAAAGTCATGCAGTGGTACATCAAAAGCAATTTGTTCAGCAGGTGTATTTTCTATGATTAACGTAGTTAATCACTGCTAAACAGTGTTAACTGTATCCCAGAAACACCAACTGATGTAAAACTACTCTTAATCCCTTCCACCAGCTCATCATTATCCATTCTTGTCTATCTTCATAGAAGGCAAAGAGAAACATTTGTTTGTCTAGGGGCAGGTAGAGTTGGTTAAAATTTAATTTCTCTTGTTCTCTTTCAACCGCTCAGAGAAAGGAGTGTATGATGGGAAGACTATCAGAGGTGGGTTGCCTTTCGTACTTGAGGGTGGCTAGATTTGTCTTTATTGTTGTGTTAATATACACTTATTTAAATAAGTAGGCTGTAAATTTCTTAGCATAAAGGCTTTTGTGGGACATGAGAAGTTTTGATCTTAAGTGTCATAATTTTGAGGCATTTAACTTGAGCATCCAGATAAGTTTTATGTTAATTTAGCCTAGTTCAATTGTTTATTATTTGGTAAAGGTTTTTTTTGTATGAAGCCAAGTTGATTTCTTGTGTGCTGCTCTCTGACTTGTTTGAGAATGAGGCAGAGTAGTAGGAAATTGTTTATATTTATAGTTTAACACAAATGAGTAGTTTATGAATGATGATGTACTACTATATGCTGATGCTGCTCTGAGCTGATACAAAAGACCATGAGTTGGTAATGCACACTTTGTCACTGGTTTAGTTGTTTATTTAGTTGCTCTCATGCAAAGGAAAAGAGGAAGAAGCCTAATGGCACTCAAAGGCCATTGGGATTTTAAATCAGCTTCAGAAGGTTTGCAGCAGAGGAGGGAACAAGGCAAGACACAGTAACTGAGGATGTGATAGAATGAGCAGTGTGGATGAGCCTTCTGAACTCTTCTTCCCTAAATGGTAGTGAACTGTTGAGCCTTTTGGAGATGGTTCCCGTGGGTATAGGGCAGTTCTTCCAAGTGCTCTGTCGGTGGGTAGTGGTGATCTCTGCTAATATGAAGCTGACCTCACTGGCATCAGATCTGTCAGTAAACTCATGGATCTCATCCTTTCCACCCTTGGTGTATAAGGAGAGAATATAAGAAATGGTACGACTGTGAAAGTCCTTTCTTCATAGGCTTTCCAGATTTCATGTAGTTGGCAATTCAAAGACTTTGAGGTTCAGGTTATACCTGCTACAGTTTAACTACAAGTGAACTTAAACATTCTGAGATTTTGATCTCACTTTAAGCTAAGATAATTCTTGGTTTCTGCAACACGTGGAGGTGAAATTCACAAGTGAATGATGGCTTTTGAGGGCGTACAGAAGGTACTTTAAAACTTCTGTCTTAACCTAATGTGCCTCGTAGTCTGAATATTATGAAAAGTAGTTAATAACAGTCTCTCATCACCATCTTGCTATTAATGATAGGCTGTAATAAGTTTTGGGTCCTATTTTTAATAACTTTTCTGCTTAACACCATGAAAGACTTGAAAGTGTACTGACTGCTGCTGCGCTACTGCCTTTATAATGTCTCACAGTTTTCCTCCCAGTTTTTCACAGTTGTGCATTTTTTCCGTATCTGAGGGGTGTGGTTTTCCTTCACCCTTCTGTTTTTTTTTTTTTTTTTTTTGTTTGTTTTTTTCATTGTGGTGTTTTTCTGAGGTGAGACGATTGGGGAAAAAAAACAACCAACAATCAAACCCAAACTGATAACTTTATGGGTTATTGGGAGTTGCCATTCTCCTTTTTGAAGCACAGCTCTCTGGTAACGGTTGATTTTTCTGCTGCCAGTCCTACGTTGGTTTCCCTGGGAGCGGCTGCCAAATAAAAGTTTGTGTGAGGACCATATAAACACAGCTTTAAAATCTGGAAAGGCTTCTTTCAGGCTGTGCAGTCTGTACTATCTGGCTCTGGTAATGAAACTTTTCCATGGGACTAGGTTTTACTTAACAGCTTACAGCCTGCAAGATAAAGAAGAGGATCTGAAGCTTTTGGGAATCAAAAGGCCATTTACAATGAGGATGTGTCTGATGTGTTGAGCTGTTTCCAGGACTTGCTGATTTCTGTTTCTCCTGGCTCCCGTGTTTTCCATGTCTGGTTGTTCTCTAGTCTTCAAGAGCAAATCTCTGTGGAATTTTTAGGATAATTTTAATGAAAGAGAAGGGACTTCTCCTGTTGTGAAAAATTGTGTTGGACCTTCTGGATATGGCATCATAGAAGGTTATGAATATTTGTGGTACTTGATGTATCACAAAAATAACACACCACTGAGGAAAGGAATATTGGTTAATTGGTTGTCTTACATGGAAGTACATCCTATACTATTTATTAATATCTGAGAACTTATGCTTGCTTTCTTACCACATGTTCAGGATGCAAGAAGTAGGCTTTCCTTAGTAACTTACTAGTTTGAGGAACAGTATGAACCGCTGCAAAAGAGAGTGAGCAACTGTTCAGTAATACAACCTTCCAAAAAAAAAAAATTTGATCTGCAAGTACACCTGGCAGGTACTTGACTTTTAATTAAATTTATAATGCATTTTGCTCTATGAGGCATTTCAAACATAGTTAGCCATTTGAACTCAGGTTCTCTTTTTCCATAATTTTTTTTTGGAATGGGTGTGAAACTTCTTGCCTTATTATTCCAACTTAAAGTGCACTATGCTCTGTAGGCAGAAGATAAAATTGACTATGAGGTTGAATATGAATGGTATTATAATCTTTTTCAAAGGTGAGATGATTAGCAGCACAAACTGCTTAAACTAGATAAAACAATGTCAATTTTAACTTTTGTCTTTAGTGTTTTTAATTCCCTTTAAAATGAAGCATTGATTCATTAGAACTACATGCATGAATTATGTACAAAACAACCTCAGTTTTACTGTGCCAAGAACCAGATCTGCGATCTCACTTTGTTGTAGTAAGCTATTACTGACACTGTTACAATTAAAAATTCATCTATATATGTGTATGCTTGAACAGAATTACAATTTGGAAACGTGCTTTGGTTTCTGCGTAAAATTAGAACCAGATTTGTGGGAGATTCTCTCTCTGCAGGAACTCCCACCTGTTCCAGTTGTCTGTGCTATCAAAGTTAGGAACACAAAACTGCAGTTTTCATCTTTGAAAACCTCCAGTGATCACAGAGGTGAAATTTGATAAACCCCCATGCTAGGACCTTCACGTTGAATTAAAACCTGGAGGTGGGAGAAGCTGCTGAAGGACTCGTGTGTGTCTTGTTTTTAATAGTTGTGGTTCTATCTTTTAGCATTAAGCATTCCACTATCATATAGTGGATGGGTCATTCTGAAAGAGCACTTTCAGGATTTCAGTGGTATGGTTGTTGCCTTCCTTTTTTGGATCTCACAGAGAGTTCTGGGAGAGCAGTTCATTGTTCCTGGAGGTATTTTATTTTGGCCAGTATTTCTAATCTAAGGAAGGGTGTTGTTTTGTGCAGCTGAGACTCTTCTGGACGTTGCTTTTAGGTGTGCTAGTTGTGTGTGTGTATATTACTGCCGCTGAAAGGATGTGTGCTACAAGTGGTAGCCCAAAAATTGATTTTACAACTAGCTGACATTCAGGAGAATTTTGGATACTGTCATAATGTCCCTTAGTTTCCTCCATTTGGATTCAAAATTGTCATTTTCTAATAACTGGATAGAACAGAACTTGTATAACAGTTTCAGTGATCTGAAACTGTCAAATAGCTTACGTTACAGGTGATCAGAACAGCAACTGCTGCTCGCCAGAGGGAATTTCCGTGCCAGTTCCGTGAAAATAGAGGAAGGATAAAAAAAATGTATTTAATCTGTTTTCCACATAAAGGAGTATCTCTTCTGTGGCCATTTCCATTACATGCAAATGTTCATTTCCCATACCAAAAAGGAACAACGCAGAAGTGTTGCTGCTCCCATGTGTCTTTAAAAATAAATACTCTTGAGTGAAAAATATCTGTAAATGAAGGAGGCTAAATTTCCTTCACTTGAAAACAGATTTGTTTTAGGGGGAAAAAAAAAAACAAAAAACAAACCATCTTGTAAGAGTTTTAGTCAACCACTGGCAATGTTTGCACTGACTTTTGCCTCCTGGGACAGGAGTTGTTTACTGTTCTGCAGAGAGCAACAAGGTAGTAAAGTTGTAATACTGCCAGGTAAAGTTGTGCTGTGAGACCTGATCAGGTGAGTTTTACCTTGGACATTCAGTGTAGCAAGGGGTAGACTAGTACTTTTGGCTTAAGCAAACTAGTTTTACAGTTTGCTGTTAGGAAACTGACCACATGAAGCACATAAAAAATGTTTCACTGCTTTTTTTTAGTATGCTTTTCTTTTTTCTGATAACACTGTGCTATGCTTTACGCCCTAATTTGAATAAAGATGTGATAAGCTGTAAAATATATTGTGATGTAAAGGCAGTACAGCTACTTTCTGAAGCAGAATTTTGAACATGTGTGTACTTGTTTAATAGTAATGTTTGTATCTGTGCACAGAAAACACAGAAACAATGTGGGACCGAGCAAACCTATTTCTCAGCCACGGAGAAACATTGTAGGCTGCAGGATACAGCATGGATGGAAGGAAGGGAATGGACCTGTAACGCAATGGAAGGGCACAGTGCTTGATCAAGTTCCTGTAAATCCCTCTCTCTATCTCATAAAGTATGATGGATTTGACTGTGTGTATGGACTAGAACTTCACAAAGATGAAAGAGTTTCAGCACTTGAAGTTCTTCCAGACAGAGTTGGTAAGGGTTTTAGGTTTTTTTCTCCTAAATTCGTATGTGTATAGGCTGACATTCACTATTAGATCACTTAAATGCTACTAGTCACGACATGTAATCTAAAATACTCTACATTTTTTTTAGGTTCCACAAAGTTTTGGTGATAGTAGTGAGTGCATTTGCTGTCTTCAAATAGTATGCAGTACATTCTATAGGGTTTTTTTTTGATTGATGTTGATGTTTCTGTTAAAATTTAAACTGTAAGACATCTTGGTTGTGTTGTCTGTTGTGTGTGCCTAACAGTAATAATGTCACATAAGTACATGAGGAAAACCTCATGAGGGAAACCTCATGTACTTCCCCCCAGGTACTTTTAATAATGTGGGGAAGGCATTTTCTAGATGAAGTAACTTGATTAGTAATAATCCTTTTTGATGTTCAGAATTAGCACTGGGTTGTTAAACTGCAGTTTTTTCAAACCACCAAGTTTGATATTTGAATACTAGTTTATAAACAGAATAAGCCGTTACTTCTAAATGGAAAGCAACTGATAGCAGTCTGTACTGTGAAATTAAGAGGAACCAAACCCCAGAGTTCTGTTAATAACATTAATTGTTCTGTGACTGGCCTCTTTTTCTCTTCTCCCATCTGCCTCTGCCCGTGCAGTGTCTATTTAAAATACAGAGTCTTTACTGCTGTGGCCTCAGTTGATCTCCCTTTACCTTGCATTGTGATTGTTTCATCATAAGGGGAATACAATAATTCACTGATATTTTAACAACATTTGAAGTTTTCTAAATCTTCAGTAGTAAACTCTCCAGAATGGACAGTGTTTGTTTTGTTTATGAACTGACTTGACTTTCAGTCAGATTTGTGTATGAATAAGGGTAAAGGTTATTTTTTGACAAAGATGCATATCTGTGCTTCTGAATGAACTTGTGAAACGCTGTCATTTCAGCTTCATCTCGAATTAGTGATGCCCACCTGGCAGACACAATGATTGGTAAAGCTGTGGAACATATGTTTGAGACAGAGGATGGCTCAAAAGATGAGTGGAGGGGGATGGTTTTGGCTCGAGCTCCTATTATGAACACGTGGTTTTATATTACCTACGAGAAGGATCCCGTCTTGTACATGTACCAACTCTTAGATGATTATAAAGAAGGTGACCTTCGCATTATGCCTGATTCAAGTAAGTAGGCCAGTTACTGTTTTCTTCTGGCAGCCTTTTGTGCTTAAACATTTGTCTGTGCTTATTTATGACCAGGAGAGCTGACAAAAAAACCCCATCTTTTTTTTTGTTGCTCCCTTCAATTTTATTCTTTTTAAATATCACAACTTTGTATTACTTTAAAAAGGACTTGAAATGTATTTTAAGTCTGCTTTGGTTTCTTCCACCTTTGTGGGGGGAGGTTAGGGAAAGCTTGTATGCTTTCTTACCATTTAAGTACTAACTGCTTTTAGTGCACTTCTCCCATCAGCTATTGGCTGTTGATGCTTGCCTCTTTTCTAAAAACTTCTGAATATATGCTTCCTTCCCTGAATGTGAATGCTTCCCAGGTATTTTGAATTGTGTCCTTGAGTCAATGATTGGAAGTAGTTCTGTAAATTTCGGTGGAACTTGCCATAATACTATAACTAAAATTTCTAGGGTACTGTCTCTTCTCAAGTATAGGCTTTGCATGTGTTAGGAGACCAAATTGTAGAATATTTCTTGGCAAGGGAAAAATGTGTCGCTGGATCTGACACTAAAACTTTGTCCACGCTTCTAAGTGAAAGTATATGAGTTGAGCTTACATCTTTGCCTAGAAAGACTCTTCACGTAAAACTGATATTAAGAGCAAAATAACTGTGTGACAGTGCATTTTTAGAGGGACTGAAACAAAAATTGAAAGAGAAACTTCTCGAGTTTGTGGAAGAATTTTCAGTGTGAAAACAAGGCAGTCTCTTCATTCCCTGATAAGGGTTTTTTGTCTTTTGAGAGTTATTTCATAATTCTCAGAACTGAAAGTAAAATGAATGGAGTCTGTAAGGGATTTTAAATTCGAACGTGGAGCAAAATTTATTAATTTTAAAGCTTATGATTTCCAGAATAAAAGCCACGTCAGATTTGACTACTGCTTTAGAAAGTTTCTCACTGAAATACAAACCACAAGTTACCTAAATAGGGAACAAAAGAAGAGGAGCTGAGAAGGAAGGTGTGGTTTGCTTCTGGTTCTCTATACAGTGCTTTTTTTTACCTTATTTCGTACTTTTTCAGTGATTGGCTTGTTATCGGTCCCTTGGCTTAAATTCAGTTGTCCACAGCCATTTTCTATGACTTCTGCATAAATATTCCTGTCAAAAGATTTACTTCTCCTACCAATCAAAGTGCTGGGTTTGTCTTCCTACAGTATTACTTGAAAAATTTTTCTGCAACTACTTTCTAGGAGCGTGGCAACTGTTAGGAGCTTGTCTTAACAAAACTAATTTTCTACATAATCTATTTACAACTTTTAATTGGTTTGTATGAGTTTTAAAGAAGACTCTGCAGTTGCCTTCCATGTTGCAGCATTGTATTAAAACTCACTGGATTTCTTTTACAGATGATTCACCTCCTGCAGAACGGGAGCCGGGTGAAGTTGTGGACAGCCTGGTAGGCAAACAAGTGGAATATGCCAAAGAAGATGGCTCAAAAAGGACTGGCATGGTCATTCATCAAGTTGAAGCCAAACCATCTGTCTATTTCATCAAGTTTGATGATGATTTCCATATTTATGTCTACGATTTGGTGAAGACATCCTAGACGTCATCATGAACTTTTGCCAAATTTGTGGAACTATTAAATGTAAAATTTGTAGACACAAAGACTTGACTGCTTTCCAGTTTAATGAAAGCTGAAATGTCCCTGCGAACCCACAATCTCTGCCAGCAAAACTGTTTCGTTCTGAGTGATACAAACATGACACATTTTGTGTAAAATAACTCCTTTTCTTGAAGGAAGTCAATATGTTTGGGCAGGAGGGAGTTAAAAGCAAAGAACAGCTGCAAATTCAAGCTGTGTAAAGTTGATCTAGTATTGTAATCATTAATCTAAATTTTTTCATAGATTTTTTTTTTCTTCAGCCTTGCACTCACTTGTTCAACTGCCACATGCAAGTGTAGTTTGATATTTGATACACCTTCTTTTGTAACATTAAATTTAATTTCCTGGATACTGGCAGTCCTTGTTTTCAGGGTTGGGACAGAGGTGACTTTCCTGAAAGGTTTAAACAGTTTGTGCGGCATCAAGGAGTGCCTAACTCAAGTAACATCAATCTGCTGTGTTTCTACCCTTTATTTCAAATTTAGCTTTTTAAGGAGTTGCAGTACATGGAAATACTTGTGCATTTTTTTACTAGTCACAGGGCAGTAGGATATCAAGTGTTTGAATTATGCACCTTTCAGTGAAAAGGCTTTAAACTGTAAAAAAATACATTTAATCTGTATAGCCAGTTAATTAGAAAATGCAGGTTAATGGCCCATATTTACAAGTTGTAGGAACCAGTAAAATACATGCAACAAGGCTGCCTTCAATCCTAAATGTTGTACTTCTTTCTTTGTTATACACACTTCTTAGCAAAACCCAAGTGCTTGGTGCCACAACTTTAACAGTATATATGCTACTTCAGAAGACTTTAGACTACGCATTGGCATCAGTAGTCTCATTTAATATCAAAACCTAGCAACCTGAATGTTTGTGTGTGGACTTAGAAGCCTAACAGTAGTTAATATTTTACATGGTAAATACAATCTCACGCCAGGGGAGTGGGGGGGGAGGTGACCTCTTACGTTGAAAATGTAACTTTAGAGAAGGAGAAGCATTTTTGTTGCCTTCTGCTCAGTCTGTTGCATTCCTTTTGTGTTGGTTTGCTTTTAGTAGTTTCGGTTCGAGGAGGCATTCTTCCCGAATTTGTTCTTTCTCTGGCTTTTCCACATAAGGAGTGTCCGGACAAATCTACAGTTTTAAACCTGTTGTTGCCTTTTTGTGGTGTGCATTGTACTTGCTTTGAGGTATGCTGTTAACATGGACTTCATCCTACGAACACTAAGAGTTCTGCATGCCAGTGGTGTACTATCTAATGGAAGCTGTAGGCAGTCTCAGTGGTCCAGCCATCTGCATTAGATTGTGGATGTAAATAGCAGCCCACAACTGCAAAATCCTTTCACGGTTTTGATCTTGCAAGGTAGCTGTAAACGAAACTTAGGGTTTCTTAAACGTGTGGCAGCTTTTAAAAAAGTATCAGAAACGCAACAGCGATCCAGCGCAGCAACAAAATTGTCATGTTACATTAAGGCAGAGCTCCGTGAGTTTCAGAGAACTGCTTCACAGAAACACGGTGTGTGAAGACAGTCGACACTGTTGGTGGAAGGAACAAATACCCTGATATCCAACCATATGCCGTTAGTGGAAGGATGCAGGAGAAGTGCTGTTAATCAGAGAACAGAGGTCTGGACGACCTCTGTCATGGGTATTCTTGGCATTGAAGACTCAGTGGTTTAAGCCCCTTTCTGTCCTTTTTTTTTTTTTTTTTTTTTTTTTTTTTTTTTTTTTTTTTTTTTTTGCCTGAATTCATATTTTTAGCCTTAAGGCTTGTGCCTCATTATGCTGTTGAATGGTAATAAATACTCTCCGTATAAATATGATACCTTAATTCTTTGTCCATCGCTACTATATTGCATTATGTCCAGTATTTCACCATGGGCAACCAAAGGCAGGCTGTTGTCTTTCAGTGAATAGCTTCTTGATGCAGTCCTTATGCAGTAAGTACCTGAGTCGTAAAACGTTTCTTGTGTTTGAACAAAGTGAGCAGATTTGCAACACAGTGTTTTTCATCCTGCAGATCTGTTGTGTTTTTCTATTGACTCTTAAGAGTCCTGCATGTAAATCTCAAAGCTGAGCCTGGCTCCATGAGCCCAAGTCGATATTCGTGGCACAGGAATGAGTGAGTGTATTGGTTATACACGAGATACATGAATTACCTAGTACACTGAACTTTGGGCTATATATCTTGAGGAACATGAGGTTTGTTTTGAAATATCTGAGGTCTACTGGAACACTTTTAGCATTAGGCTTGCATTTGTGGGTTTTCTGCAAGCCTCTCGAATACACCATTGTAATTCTGCCAATTAGAGTATAATCTACAAGCTGTTAAATTTAACGGTTGTATTTCAGTGTCCCCATTGTCTGTTGTGTGGGTATTTTCTTTTTCACCTCTTTTTTTTTTAATTTTTCTTTTTTTTTTTTTTTTTTTGGATAGCTTAAACCACCTTTTTGAGGCTTGAGACTAATTCCACTCCCTGCCCATCTGCTTTGGGCTTTGTTTTAGGCTCATGTTTCAGATCTGCATGCAGTGCTTGCGTTACCCTGGTAACTAAATGTTGGTTCCTTGTTATAGGGGTTCAACATTACTTTCCAAAATCACATAGGGCTTGTGATGGCACAAGCCATGGATCTTTGTATAAAAGTTATTCATCTTTCACATTTACCTGCTGTAGTATTGTTGTATATTGTGTGTGTGCGTGTGTGTGATGTCAGGCTGCCATGTAAAACTTTCTAAAAAGGGAAAAAAAAAAAAGAAAAAACACAACTTAAATGCAGACCATCCTTTTTTGCATGCTTAGAGGGTTAGAACATTCAATGTAACAAACTAAAGTTGCATGTTAAAATGTTTAGGTTTTTGTTTTGTTCTGTTTTTATTTTGTGTTCAGTTTTTTGTGAATTTGCTTATTGTGCTGTTTAATGGTTGTTAGTAGGATTAAATGCACCGGTGAGACGAGCATAGTGCCAACGGAAGGTAATTTTCCAGTTGTATGTGTCATACAGCATTTGAAGGGACCATGTATTCTGTTAAAGAAAAAAATAAAATCTCAGTTGAATAGCAAAACATTACATTCTTCTTCTTTCTTTTGAGTGCCAAACCCTAAACTATGTTGGAGTAAACATGGGGAAAACCTTTTTTTTTTTTTTTTTTTTTTTGCAATAGGTGGAAGCCTTCTCTAAGTGGATTGTTTAAACATGGGGGCTTTATCTTCAGAGAGAAGTAACTAGCCGCGTCAGGGAAAAGAATTACAATAAAAACAGTTTCTGGTTCCTTGAAAATGCTGTGCATTTTGTATTTTACATCATTAGTACAATTAGGATGGTTCTTGGTATGTGTATAGTTCAAAGGTCTTCGTGTTCACATTTTTAAATTAGGTAGTGAATTCATCTTTAGAGCTTGGTTTCATTATTTTTATTTTATTTTGAACAATGTAGACAGTTTCCCTGTTCTCTGCATTTAGAAGTATAAACACTTTAAATCTGTTACTTAATTCTGTAAGTAATTTTTATAATTATGATGTAACTCTATCCTTAAAACATTTAAAATAAACCCTTTATGTGCAACTTACGCCTGTAAATTTGTTCTCATGAGCAAAATGTAGTGATGTGATTTCCGATTGTGAAGAAGCAAGTTTCTTCATTTTTGTAATTAAAAGGATTTGTTATTTTAATGATGAGCCATGTAAGCTGGTATAATAATGCCCTATGAATAAGTTTGCTTGCAAAGCCAAATCTTTATTGTTTTTTTTTTCAAGGAAGTATAAGTGCTGGTTGGATGGAATTTGGCTAAGGTAAAGCAGAGTATTAAATTGTATTTTCAGTAAACACAGTAAAACTCTCCTCCAGGGGACTGTGCAGGTCTGTGAAGCAGTCTCTATTTCCAGAGCGCACAAAATATTTCAGCAGTGGCAAACAGCAGAAGCATTTGGCAGTGATTTAGTGATCCATACATCTACTTTGAATTAATAAAACTCAAAATTCAGTTGAGTGTATTTTGCTGGTGAGAAAATGCAAAGTTGATCCAATTTAGAGGTGATCAGCAGAGAAGAAAACCTCACCACTGTTGTAAATTTTATGAAGTCCTACAAGTTGTTGTGAAGACTTTGTATGGTTAAATTACTGAGGCAGCCTTTCCATGTTGAACAGGTTTTCTTTATTACCTACCTCTTTTCTGATAATAAAGGGTGCATGGCACTTAAGGACATGGTATAGTCGTGGACTTTGTAGTGCTAGGTTAACAGCTGGGCTTGAGGATCATAAGGGTGTCTTCCAACCTAAGTGATTCTGTGATTCTGGAATACCTTTTAGGCACCAAGCTCCTCAGATGCACAACTGAAGGTGAATACCCAAGCCTCTTCAGGTGCCCTAGTTCCCCGTCCCGCTGATTGTGTCTGGTTGCCTGAGACACTGGTCCCAGAGAGGGTTTATATTGTGTACCTCTGAGATTAGGGAGAGTCTGAGACTCTGCTTTGCCAGGAGTATCACCTGCAGAAACCAGTTGTTTATCTGTATGTGCTTATCTGTGCAATAATTATAGTTAAAAGTTGATATGCTGGCATTTTATGGTGAATGCCTGAACCTGTCCTGTATTACCAAACTTCTGATAAACCAGCTTCAGTTGGGTGGCATCTTCCTCTATAGAAAGAAAAAGAGGAGCCGTATAAAAGCGAAGGGTGTTTTGTTCTCTGCTACTGCAGGAGCGAAAAGTACCCCTGAAGGCTTGGTTGCTGAGGAGCTCACTTAGGAGCAGCTCTGTTGTCAACGATTTGAAGACAGTCATGTCCCACAGAGGTAGGAGGAGGGTGGCAGTAGGGGGGTCCTTCCCAGAGCTGCTGCTTTAATGCTGCAGTACTGTGTTCTCACATTGGTCAGGTTCCTCCTTGGGTGTATGAACAGGTTATATTTTGAGGAGGGAAAAAAAAAAAAAAAAAAAAGCTGCTCTTTGTTTGGTTATTTATTTTTACAATAATTTTATTTTTTTTAATATACATGCTGTAAGCAGTTGATGGTGTCAGGGGACTCCATTCTTTACCGAAAAGGACAAACTTCAGTAAAGATGTTTTGGAGGAGGTTGGGTTGCTGCAATTTAAGATCATTAGGGTCTGAAAGAAGAAGTAAGAACGGGTCAAGGAAACTACAGGTACGTTCTTTCATCCTCAACGACTAGATAATAGACTTTCACTGTTTTTACACAGAAGCATTTTTTTTTCAATCCAGCTCCTGTTTCTCTTTCAGTAAGTTCCTGCCTTGGCATGTTACATCACTTGGCTCTTTGCCAATATCAATACCTTACTGTTTTAATTCATTTCAGGATTGGCAGCCTGGGAAAGTTATCAAGCTAGTAAGTGTTTT